TGGGAGGTCCGCTCCATTGTCAGGCTATGGCACAGCTCGCAGGCTTGGAACGGGAGGTTCCCTGTGCAGGCTGGCAGGGGCTTCCGAATCGTGGGCTAGCGCTGTGCTCGTCACCATGGGAGCTGCTCTCATTGGCTGAACTCGAGGCAGTATGGTATTACACTTGCTTTATGTGGCTTAGTTAACATATGCATGATTTGGCTTTTTAATTAAAAAAAGAGGATGTGGGAGGCATATTGAAAAGCTGTAAAGCCACCAGGCGGCCCTGCGTGTTCAAAACCCTGCCCTGTTTCAGTCAGTCAGAACCCTATAGTGAATGTGTTTTCAGGTTATTCATTACCTTAAGATTTAAAACACACAAAACCACCTAAAAGGCTGAGAACGCTCTCTTTCACATTTTTACAGTTTTACTTTCTCTACCATCAGAACGTTACACTGTAGGCTACCTCTGGTTCTTTACAGTTTCAGTATGAACCGTGAACAAATGCTCACATGTTCTCCCTCTTTTGCTGTTTTGGCCCAAATTCTATGCAGCTGTTTCTTGCTCACTCTTAAGGCTGAATAATACACATACTACACATCAGTTTATTGCTTAATTTCAAGGAATACCAGCATTTGAACAAAATCTATAGGCCCAACTAAAGAGAAAAAAGAGCAACAAATAAAGCAGTCTAATTTTTCCATGCAGTCTTCAACAGTAGGTGCAGGTCCTGCAGCCATAAACAGGCAATGTTTGGCACACTGTTGGCAATCAGAGCAGTGTCAACAGAAGAAGAATGGCTGGGTTTCAATGAGCGGGACTGAGAGCAGTCTTTAGTGGCTAACACCTGGGGACTGAGCAGATTTGTTTAATGGAACACCAGATCTTCAATGCCTGTATTGACCATCTGGTGCGCTAGATATATATTTTAATACACCTAATCTCAAATGGAGAAGGCACCATGCAGCCGTCAGAGCCAGGAGGATGGATTTCACACATTTTACCTTAGTGTCAGTAATCAGTATTACCAAATGTATTCAGTAAAATAATGATTATCATCTCAATATCATTTATTTCAGGGTATATTGTATGTAATACCTACATACTGTAGATTGTCATGGTCCTTGACATTGTAATCTCAAACTCAACACAGCTCTCAATTCCACCAACACAGATTCCATCTTCACACCTTCCACATTCCATTCCACTAAAAATGGACAATTAATTGGTGCAATTATCACACTAACATTAAGGTCTTTGATATTACAGTCATACTTGTGATAATCAGTGGCAAAACCTAATGAGCTCAAGTTTTTTTTGGACTCAGCAAATATAAGGCTGATTCATATGATCTATCAGTATATTTTTACACTATCAGTGGACAGTTTTATGACTCCCTTCATAATTTAATGTAAAATATATACACTTGTTTTTATGTTTGAAATTCAGGTAAAAGTGATAGTTTGCAGTTCTGTGCAAAAAGACATCTACATGTTCATTGAATGTCTGGCAGTTTGAAAAGACCTGGGTTTGAATCCTTGTTCAGTATTTTTAGTGCTTTTTTCCCAGTGAATGCCATAAAAATCATTACTTACTATTATGAACTGTCCTTAAATCAAACATTTAGCTTGCATATCTTGTTGTACATACAATGACAATTAACAGCTACAATATTAAAGGGGACAATAGCAATGCTCCTTAAATATAATGTTACGTTGATTGTATACATAACCAGCCCCAAGAGTCTTTTCAGCGGCTCTGGTTTGGCATTGGGAGCTAACAGGGTGAGTTGCCATATGGGTGATTACTGACCTCCTTGGCACACCATACGGTTGTTACTGTGGTGCAACTGTTTGAGTGCTTCAAAACAACGGATCTGTGTCAGAGCAATTGATTCAAATGGGAAAACCACATGGAAAAACCTCATTTTCCCAAACACCACTGACTGCACTCAATTTTGCAGGGCATGCAACACACGGTCAATTTGCATATACACGCTTTGGCCAATAATGGCTATGGTGCACATTGGGAACCACACATACGCCCTCCCACTGGAGATGAAAGTCAGCTGGAGACATTTCACGCTCTGAATTAATGAAGCGTGATTCACACTTTTTCCACTACAACATTCCAAACCTGCCAGCAACTATTAATTGGTGAAGAGACAATAAAATACATGAATTGATGTAAATGAAGAAAGAAGATCAATGCTGAACAAATTATTCACATCTTTAATGATGCAATTATCTCAACAAACATTTATTGATTGACAAATTCTTTGAATTATGTAAATATTTATTTATTAATAGATTATTTAATTGTGTATTTATTTACTTTTTCATGTTGTCAGGTATACTAAACACAAAAAAAATACTTTCAGCAAATAAAACTGTTTAAAAGCATAAACAGATGTGTTGCCTAAAAGTCGTTAGGAAATACTTGCAAAAAAAGGTCTGGCAGTAAAGACACTGATATAAAAATGAAAGCAAGTTACCCCTAACAACCTCACACAAACTGAATGAGGACCATTCCAAAGCAAAGCTACCAACACCCTCCCTAAATTGTTTTGTGTAACTTTTTTTCATCTGGTTCATGCCCATTCACAGAATACAGCATGTTTTGTGTGAAAGGCTTTTCATGAGATTGCTTGCATTTGATCTGCTGTGGTGCACTACGAAGAGTGATTCCTGGAAAGGCCTGAGAAAGCAGAGGTTCCTGGTGTCTCTGGCAGGGGGATTTCAAACTCAGTCTGCTAGACAGCCCAGATCCCTGACAGATGTAAAGAGCTGCAGGACAAGTGTATTCTGACTATTTTCCTCCTACACAGGCCTAGCTCCTCTCAAGGGGATCCTACCTACTTAGCTGTACACTCAGCTCCTTGCACTGTCTGCTCCCTCGTCAATCAAAAGGGGATGGAATGGCTATAACCAAGATGTGGAGGAATTCCGAACTCACATATATACATATAAATATATATATATATATAGTGTATACACAAATTTATTTTTTACACGGAATGTAGTCTCATTAACATGGCTGATGTAAACTTTTTCCAAAGGAGACTGAATGAAGTACCATCCTTCCCACCTGAAATCCACTTAACACCCTGATGATGCCTTCTGAAGAACTGTAACGATCCGACCGCGCAAGTACCAGCGCAAAAAAAGCCCGTCTGAAATTGAGTTTGGCTGCCCGAATCCAGGGAGAAAATGAAAACATTACAGTGGCACAAATGAAAGGGGAGCGCTGTTTTGACATGGCGCAGAGAGACAGCCTTTGTTACGTAGGAGAGCCGGGTACCTGCCATTTTCCACGCCACTTTATTAGCTGCACATCGCACTCGCCCTTTATACGTCGCTCTAGATGAGACTGCCTGCTAAATGACAGAATGTAAAAATGCAAACGAGCAAACCGGATGGGAGTCTGCTCTGTGACATAATAAGGCCAAAAGGCAGAGGGTTTTTTTTTTCCCCACACAGCCCTGTCAATCCAAAGGGCCCGGCATCGCATGCATAAAGAAGCTGCTGAATGCTGGAAGAAGGCTTTTGGAGAAAAAATGCAAATGCAGGAAGAGCAATATGCCCTCCTCATAAGGGTGGGTGATTTGTTCTGCCTCTTGTGCATAATAAGGCTAAAAACACCCATCTTTGCAATGTCCATTTAGGTCTGTTCATGAAATGTGTGTCTGTGGTTTTTTTCAGAGTGTACCTTTCTGCCTGGGCTACAGAAAAGTAAACCCAGCAGTAAGGTCAATACAGTTTGGTAGAAAACCAAATGCTTCTCATCCATATGAAAAGAGCACTCACCCTCTCTAAAGCCCCTTTCAGACATGCACTGCAACCCTGAACTTATCTAGACATTACCCAGAGGAGCTGTATGTGAGAACACAAATGTCCGAATCAGTTGGACCGGACATTAAACGGACATTACCCTGCCAGCTCCCTAGTACAAAGTCCATGTAATGCCTGATTGAGTCCATGTGCGAATAGAGCAGGTCATTGTCTGGAGAATTCACAGCGAGCGAGTGGGCGTGTTGATGATGTTCCTATCATGCGACTGGCGTGAGACCGAAAGAATACAAACATCCGAGGGTGAAGAAGAAGGGTCATTCACATGAAGATGCCAATGAAAATGTCTAACTGCAGAGACAACGAGATTCGGGAACTTCTGTCGGTAAGGGCCGACACCAAAATCATCAGACAAATTCAAGGAACAGCAAGAGACTCGGTTGTTTATGACCAAATTACGAACCAGCTACGTATAAACAAAACACTGCGATTTCCACAGCGTACTGCTTTGCGTCATGTCCTGCCTCTACCCAGGCGCCACCCCTTGCCTAAACCAAACGGAGTATTTCCAGTAGGTGAGAACGCATCTGACACGGACAATCTCCTGTTGTGTGCTACATGTGTGAAAGGGCAACTCCGGACAATACCCAGACCTGGGGCAGGAGTGTAGCATAGTGGTTAAGGAGCAGGACTTGTTGCTGGTTCAATTCCCCGCTGGGGCACTGCTGTTGTATCCTTGGGCAAGGTACTTAACCCACAATTGCCTCAGTAAATATCCAGCTGTATAAATGGATAACATCGTAAAAAAAAAAGAAAAGAAAAGTGTAACCTATATAAGTCGCTCTGGATAAGAGCGTCTGCTAAATGCCAATAATGTAATGACTCTCTGGACATTGTCCGGAGTTCATATGAGAAAACGACTTAAATCTACAGGTATTCTCAGTCACAAGCACTGTATGTTGCGTGACATAATGTCACAATTCATTCCTATGGTGTTTCATACTTTTGTTATCTGAGGTTTTTCAAAGCAGAAAGGATACCTCACCCTGGAATGTGGTGACAGTTGAGACACAGAATGGAAAGTGAGGTACCTGGCACGGGTGTGGCCACCAGGTATCACCGTGTAAAAAGCCTACAAACTTACATAGGTTACAATTATACATGTTATCCATTTATACAACTGCATATTTATTGAGGGAACTGTAGGTTGAGTGCCTTACCTAAGGGTACTACAGCAGTGGCTCAGGGGGAAATCGAACCAGCAACCTTTCGGTGATGAGCCCTACTCCTTACCACTATGCCACACTGCTGCCTTATCTTATTTAAGCTCACACTGTGTTTATGTTTATGTTATCCTCATAATACTCTGTCTTAAAATTAATCAATTGTACGTGTTTGCTGAAAAACTGTCCTAAATACAATTCTCTCACAATCAGGTTTGTGCCGTGCTCATGGGAACAATGGCGTCAAGTTATCAGCTATTCCACTGATTGGAGGTAATTGTTTGAGGCCTTAGATAAGTGTCACTTATTGCCATTGTGTTCTTTATTATCTTTGTTCAGGCATTTAAAATTATGTGGAGAGGATTGTTGTGCTAATTTTCAAACCGTTCTGAGCGCTGGTGTATTGCGTCAGCTTTGAGCAGTACATTACTTTCATCCTAATTATTTGTGGCAGATTGCAGTGACTTGTCATTACAAGGACAACAAAGTCATGATACAAGGAGAAACCCTGGGAAATTGTAAATATATACAAAAGCCTGTTCCTGGAAGGTAAAGCTTTGTGAACTGGTTTCACAATATTTTTGTGTTTCACCAGTCACAAATTTTATATTTTCATTTTTCAAGTAGTCTACAATGCTACCAGAGCAATAAACTGTATTGGATGTATTAACTCTGAAGCGATATGTCAAGCCTTGCTTCACAGTCATCTGATTCATACTACAGAGACCCAAACTGAACCAAGCTCATGTCACTCTGATAAAACATGTAACTTAGGAAATATGACAATGATCTGCATGGCATTTGTAACGATTCTAAGTGCTCTGAACTGGGAACACAGCGCTGGACACATCACAACAAGCAGTTCCCTAAAAGTATGCTTTAAGAATCTGACGATAAACACTGATGGTAAATTCGATTACTATAACGTTTCACAACCATAACCTGCTTTTAAAAATGTAGTTGTAAACCTTGCATTCTTGAAACCCATTCAATCCATATGTTATGTTATGTATATTCAATCCATCTGTGTGCAGGCAGTAAATATGGGCCAAAATTAGTCAGCGCTCTCACTTTGCCTGGTGCAGGAGACGTCTGCTGATTGATGGTACTCCTTTCTAATGTACAGACTGAGACCCAGATTCAATTAGCGCATCGTCTGTATTTAATGTGGTCCCCAATGCGAGCAGTGCGGCATAGTAACAGCACAGCATTTGATTTGCTTGTAAAGAAAAATGCAACGCTTGCACTAAGTGAGAATTTGCAATGATTATACTGTAGCAAGGTCAGTGATTACAGGGATAGGTCTAATCTCCCTCTGCTGGAGACTAAGATGGCTGATGGCTCAGTGAGAATGCCATCAACAATGCCTGTGCCCTTTATTGTGGTGTGTGAAATGACGGCAGTCTGAGGCACATTTTGGGTGAATAAAAATCATGCAAGAACATCAGCTGTAGATATAAAGGATTACCACTGAGCTTATAAAACTGACTGCTGCCTCTAGTCCAGACAGACATGCATAACAAATATGATTTATATCACAATGATGCCTTTTCAGTGACCTATGAAATGACTAAGAAGCACTAGGTAACAGGATTGTGAGGGTTATGATAATATGAGAAATCTCAGTGGCAAAGCCATCTACTGTCATTGCAACAAATGAACAATAATGGAAAAACATGAATATTTCATACTGTCATAACCGCTAAACCACTACGGCCCTAGTTTTTAATAAAAGACCTTGAAAGTGAGCGGTCCTTTTCAGCCCGGTTCCAGTTTTATGTAAACAGGTCGACGTGTGTGCATTATCTCTTATCTGTCACTGAGCCATTGTATGCTGATCAGTAAACACTAAATTAATTCACTGTGTCACAGAGATCTGATCAAGTGAGGAAATGTCACCCAATGAGGAGGACTTGATCTGTACGGCTCTCCTCTGGGCTGGTAAGCATTTGCCTACATGGTCTTTAAGCAACAAAAAGATCCTGTTCAGTTTCACACTTACTGGAACATCAGAAACGCAATGAGAGGCAGCACTAGAATTTTAGGGTGTTCAAAGCTTTGACAACATTGCCTCAGGCCTTATATTAATCGAATCACTCCCAGCATTCCAGTTTAAGTGCCAGAGAGTTTAACAGTCAAAGTTCTGACTGAAGGGTAAAAGGGTCAAAATGGATAGAAGGGTGGTTGTGGTTAGGGTTAGGGTTGTGGTTATGGTTTGGGTTGTGATTGTGGTTAGGGTTAGGGTTTTAGGGTTAGGGTTAGCATCCTCACAGATTTCCATTCCCAAGCTGCACCAACATGCGAACAAGTGCAATAGTTTGGGACTTTGAAACATGTATAATCCAGCGCAGGAATACACCCATGTGGGAAATCAAAAAATCTTCTGCTGTGGCATCATCTGCTTAAAAACCCACGCAAGCTTTGCTCAAATCTCCTATGATTCTCCCTCATTAGTCTTACTCTATAGCGATTTACCTAGTCTAAGGCAACAGCTTTCTAAGTGAAGTTAGAAAATTAAATCAATTCCAAAAAACTTTAGCTGAAGCTTGATCCTTGATCTCGCCACTGACTCTCTCTCTCCTTCTCACACAAAGCCAGTCTGAGTTACGGCTGTGTGAGGATTCTCAGGTTTATGCGCCTGTATCTGGCAGACATCGCCCACATGTAGCAAACTGTGGCTCTCAGTGGGCCGCCTGTGATCCTAACGCACGTGACAGGACTCCCCCCGTCCCGTTGAGGCTGGTAAGGGTGGCAGGGAGAGGAACAACTTTAATCCCATGGATTTCTGGCCCACAGGCTTCCTCTCTGCAGGGCTCTTCCTGCACTGCAGAGGGAGTCTCTGATATCCACTCCCTGTTCTGCCTCCTCTCCACAGGGCAGTCCAGCACTGCAGTGACCTGGTATCGTTCCAACATCACTGAACTTCCTCGCACTAAAGCTTCGAGTTCACCCCGAGACTCGAGACATGCCTTTCCTTTTCCTGAACTTCCCAAATTCTTCACTGATACGAGCCAGTACTTTTTCCTGCTATATACCCATACCTCTCCAGAGAGGGTGTATGTAGGGTTAGGAGGGGTTTTTTTTATCAGTTAACAAGATATAATTCCAGATATTTTAGATTGCTTATTCCTTTCAACTGAAAAGAGACCAAAAAGCAAAATAACACTCTTTGACTCACTCTGAATATCTACTTTCTGGATACAAGCGCACTGCGTGTGCCCTCCCCAAGCACACAGAGTTTGTTCGCACAATAGCACAGGGCAACCTACAACCACACAGCATGTATTACTTTGAAATTATATGCGTTATTTTGCGTTCTACATCTCTAATGGCAGCTATTTTCCAATGATGTGATTTTTTTTTTTTTTGCAATTAAAGGGAAGGTAATGTTAGGGACACTAAGTAGCATTGTTTTAAGTGTGGATGATAATCCTAGAGAACTTCCTACCCTGACCCTGACCTCTGCATTACCACTTCCAGCTCATTCAAAGCAACCAGGTGTAAGCCACACTCAACGGCTTTCCCTTCAGAGCACAACCGCTTTTAAAACAGAGTAGTGCTGGTGCATTACTGTCACACCGAATTAAGGCACCGTTTCTTCTGCCTCAGCTTCCTGCAGCGTGGTCCTCATGCACACTCACAGGAAATCATGACAATGACCATGAAATGCACTGTGATTAAACATGTGCTGCTAAAACCAACAAGCACTTAAAACTTTCATTCAAAATACACTGGGAAATGAAATGGCACACGTGCACGCACACACACACAGGCACGCAATAACCACATATACATACACACGCACACACACATGCACATACATGTGCGTGCACACACACACACACACACACACACACACACACACACACCAAATCTGTCTCTGACCCTGCAGAACATGGTTACAAATCCATAATTTAACACACTCAGATGAAGTAAAAACTTGCTAATTACTTGGTTTAATCTTACATTGCCCTATGTGTGAACCAAACATTAGAGTATGAACTTAAAAATACACTTGGAAAAAAAAAAAAAAAAGATTGTGATCAAACTATATATAGATTTGAGCTTCCCTGCAAAAGCTTCAAAATATTGGATGATTTTATACAATTATTTTGTCAAAGAGGTATGGTTTCCTGAAATTGTGCAAATGTAAACCACATGTCTCAATAACATGGTAAATCAGCATACAATGGAGACCATTCCAAAAAAATGCCCCTCCCACCCACGGTTCAGCATCATCTTTCATACCACCCGCTCCCATACAACACACCATTACTGCAGATTTGGACAGCATGCCATTCACAGTGAAGCTGTCACTCACAGCCCCGGGCAGAAAGTTAATATCGAATCAGAGCTTTGCGAGATGAGACGATCCACTCAGCTCATTAGACTTGTGGGCCTTCGCTCTGTGTCTAACATATGCCCAGATCAAAGCCGGTCACCTCATCAGAGCTGCCTCTCACAGGTTTGAATGGCATTTGCAAGGGGAGATGACCAGTGACAGATGTCAGCAGTGTGTCAGACGCTGGAGTTTGCTGCGCTGACCCTGGTCACTCCTCTGCCGAGCGTCTAATTGAACTGTCCGAGCTTAGCGCGGCCACAGGCTATCTGGGGATTGACAGCGGTGTGAGGCATTGCAAAGTTAAGAGTGACAGGAAGGCCCAAAAAAACCACAAATAGTGTGCAGTGCTCAACTTCATGAATCCTCTGCTGTTCACAGTGACTGGTGTGGCCTCTATAGCTGGCACTGCGTTGCAACGGAAATCACTGTGTTCAGCCTCTCACAGCTGTGGAAATGAAAAAAGACAAATCCCCACCACCCCGCTGTTTATCCATCTGTTTCCAGATTTTAAAATAAGTATTACATCAAAGGATATCACTCAGACGGAAGACCCACCACTCCGGCTATCTCACCCTGTCACATTTTTCCCGAATCGATCAAAGCTGGTGCTAAAAACGGTATGGCGATATTGTCTCTGTGCTCTGTGGGTTCATCTCTCCTTTAAAGGCAATCTGAGGTCAGGGTGAGGTCTGGACTCCCTTTAAGGGCTGTTAGTGTGGCGGAAGCACAGAGATGGCACATTGCT